CAGCAAGGTACTAATCAACTCATAAACAATATGGAGGCAGGGAGGATGTCCAGGTGGTTACCCATGCAGTTAAATGGCTGGCATTGTTCTTGCATGAGTTTGTCCCAGACCAAGTAAATATCCCTGCAGCCGATGCCCAGGCAAGTTTCAGGAGCTGGGGTGGGCAATGGAGAGTTCCCAGCAGGCAGTCTGGGCACAGCTCTCCTGCTCCAGGGAGACAAGAGCTTGCCCCTCTGGGGATGGCTGGGCACACCAGTGGATGCATCAGGGGCTGTAAACGTTCCCTGGCCTGTCTGATTAATTTATGTAGCTGTAGCCTTGACACTGCATGGCTTTTAATGGATTTACTCATTCCTGCATCCCTGTGGGGTGGGGAAGTGCTGCTCAGCCCCTAGGTCTGAGGGGCAAAACAGACCCACGGGGACACTGAAAGAGCAATGTGGCTCCAGAGAAGTCTTCAGGTCCCACAGCCCGCTTGTTTCTCAACCTTCTGCCCCAGCCCCACTGCTTGAAGCCCCTTGGGCTGGTGAGGATGAGCCAGGCAAGGAGATGTGCCCCAGGTCTGGTGCAGATGCCAAGCTTCTTGGGACCACACAGTGTGAGATGTGGCCACCTCCTCTGAGCTCTGCAACTGAGATGAAACCCAGCCTGATGAGGCTGGGTGGCTTAAAGCATGTGCTGGGCAAGTCTGGTCCTGAGAACACCATCAGGCTTGCACTTAACTTAACCCTTAGGGACTTGCAGGAGCTTAGGCAGAGACCTGGCTCTTCCACCCCATGTGCTTTGACTTACTGGACATATGAGTCCTTGGGGCCTCTCAGAGGCCATGTATCAAATCCATACAGAAAGTTTCTGCAGAGAAAATTGGTTTGGAAGAGCAGAGGGTGCTCAGCGCTTTAGATCTGCATTGCCTGAAGTTCCTCTGCTGAGAAAACCAGAAAACAGTTCAGCGTAAATTTTCCACGTTTGTTTTCCCCATGCCTGTGTTAGCATTGAGATGATCAGTCTTTCAGCCACAGCGTCGTCTGCTCTTGGATCACGTCCATCACCATGGTTTCAGGGACTGCTAACACAGAGAATCTGTATTCATTAATTAAGGTATTGTATGAAAATGAACTGTTTCATCTACAACCCTATTTTGAGATCAATGATTTTATAATCAGAATCATTATTTTCATACCTGAACAGTCACAACTGGGCCTTTTGGCAGAGCACCTTCAGCTTTCCACAGACAGCTCCCAGGCACAAGTTTAACATCCCTGTGGAGCCCTGTGAACCTGGGGTGAGGATTTGTGGCAGGAGGAGGGAGATGTTGGAAGCCACAGCTCCCTGATGGTGAGGTGACAGGTGACCCTGCCCCAAGCCATGCAGCTGCAATGAGCCCACCCTTGGCCATCACCCGGTGACAAGCTTTGCTTTGGCCAGTGGCCAGCCCAAGGCTCCACTGGGGAGGAATAGATCCTGGGGCCATATGGATCCAGGCTGGGAGGCTTCACCTGTATTTATCCCAGCCTTTTGTTCTTCCTGACTCATCTCTCACTGACACCTGCACACGTCCTTCGTGGTGGGAATATTTTGTGCCTTTCCCTGCTTTGGGGTGCTGACAGCAGAGGGTGCAACGAGGGCCCATTACCCACATGCGATGTGGCTGCAACATCGGACCCCACTGAGGAGATGAGACCCACTCATGGCCTTTCTCATTCTCCTTGCTGAGTCTTCTCCTTGCTCAGTACTGCTTCTGGTAGGAAAGATGTTTTTCTTGCATTATCAAAACAGCTTAAAAGCAAAAAAAAAAAAAAAAAAACTCAGCAAAATGAAAAGTACCACCACCACCAAAAAAATCCATACAAGAAATCTGGGCCTCATCCACTCTTCTGTTAATTAACTTTAAAGAACATAATAAAACCAGAAAGCAAAGCAAAAGCCAATAGAGGTAATTGGGGTGGGCTGCTGGTAAAGCAGCAGCAGTGGGGAGACGGCTGCAAAAGAGCATCACCTTGCAGACAGCCCCAGATTTCTGAGGTCTGCCTCTCCCCCGAGTCCCATTTTGTGGCAAATCAGAGTAGACAGGGTAATTGTTGCAGCTGTGTTTGGGGCTGGTTTAAGAGCTTGTACTTCCCAGCTGTGTTGTGAGTGCAACAGCAGTGGCAGGCAGCATTCCTGCCTGCACAGCCCGAAACAAGCAACCTTCTGGAGAAACTCACTGGGTGATTTTTGCCTGTTCATTTTCAATGACAAGTTTCTGAGGAAAACAGTAGCGTCTTAAAACCCACACCTACAGCCAAGAAACCTCGAGGACTTTTCCCTCCTCCTCTCCAGCAAATACTTCGCTGCCTCTTTTACAATGCCATTTCTATTGACGTAAAGCAAAGATAAGAAATGTTTGCCTGCGCTGCCTCGCTCAGTTTTCCATGTGTGGCTCTTGGCTGACTTGCCATGTGTCCCTGCTGAGGTCTCAATCCACTTTCGACTGAAAGCGTCTGGGTCCTTGCTTGGCTTATCATTCTGACACAGCTGGCAACCTATTAATCTCCTGCTCCCAATGCCTTCACTGCAGTGGGAAAGCTCCGGTGCCTTTTAGTGGTTTGTATTTACAGCTAACAGAGGCTAGAGCTCGAACCCCCTATGTCACTTCTCCATTGAAACCCCTCTTCTGAACCGCTGGAGCCAGGGCAGGTTCAGCATTTTGGTTCTTGTTGCTCTAGCACTCTCTCTCAAAGGTATGGAAAACCATACAACAGCAGGAGAAGGAGGTTTGAAGCCAGAATCTACCAGTAATTCTTTGCCCTTGCTCACATCTTTAATCTGAGGACTTCAAGACATACAAGAAGTATCTTTTCATATCCTGGTAAACTGAGGCTGTTTTCACTCAACAGAAGTTATCCTGTAAAGCTTTTTTCAGGCACATGAATTCTGCCTGCTCTCTCCCCAGCTAAGAGAGGACATTAGCCTGCCAAGGTTACCCAGTAAAGGAGCCCTTGGAATCTTATTCTGTTCAGAAAACTGGTTTAAGCCAGGCTGGTCAAAACAGTGATGTGTGAAAATAAACTACCCTGTGAGGGTTTGCCTTGTAGAGCTGTGCTGGTAATACCATTCTGGCAACTCTTTCTTTCTAAATCCAGCTCAATCCTCAAGCAGAGGAAGGTGTGTGAGCAGGAAAGCTGGGACTAGAATGGCAATTTCCTGAGCCCAGCCTTGTATGCTGGCCAGGCAACACTCTGGCTGCTAACAAAATAGTGAGCAAAGGACTCACAGGTAGAGATGGGACACTTGAAAAGCAAAAAATAACTTACAGAGTGGCTGTCTTCAATGTCTGATTATGCAAACCTATTGTAGCTGAAAAGTTCTGGCCTGAAAACCTGGGAATTGAAGGTTTTCATCCTGTCCCTGACAAAGAAGAGAAGCGTAATGCCTGGGTAACTGCTTTTCAGCATCCCAAACCTGCTTACAGTTCCTGTCCCAAAGCAGATTTCTGGTGGGGTGAAGCACAGCATGCTGAGAAGTACCTGCTCCTCCCCAGTTGCAGCTGCCAGGGCAAGGGAGGTGGCTGGACTCAGTGTTGAGCTGGCTCAGCTAAGCTGGGGATCAGGGAGGTAACTGAGAGCCTTCAGGACAAACACTGGAGCCAGTATTTATATAAATAAATGCTGAGCCAGAACCATGCAGATCGGGACAGCAGGGTTTGCTCTGCACCAAGTGTGCCGTGTTCTGTGCTTTCGTGTCTTTGTGTTACCAAGCAGCACAGAAAAAAGCATGGCTTTTCCCCCTCTGCTAAGCTATCCCAGAGACAGCTGTAGGTGCTGTTCTGTGACGCCTTCCCTCAAATTCGGGCAGCTATCAGGAAAGTACAGCCTGCTCACTTTCAGTAAAACTGGCACTTGTGCTGGCTTCTTCCAAGCCTTTTAATCCCCACCTAGCAACTGCTTTCAGAAAAGATCTTTAAAAGTGGAAAGGGAAAAGGCTTTTCAGCAGTGGCCATGGGGTTCTTCCAAGTTTGATACCAAGAGGAAGCGGCTGGCTCCAAAGGAGATAACACTGGGACCAATCATTGTTTTTCAGACTTTGAGTAACCAACTAAAAATGCATGGGTCAAACTGTCCATGGAGACAGGTCAGCATGGATCCATTGGCTGGCCAAGCTTCACTGAGAGGGTGAGCACAGAAACGAGTGTGGGAGCATCCCTGCAGGTCTCACTGTGCCCCTCACCTCCCAGCACTGTTGACAGAAGTACCCCATTAGGAAACTGCTCTCACCCCCCATGAAACATGGGCTCACGTAAGGACACATAAGGCCCAGCCGGTGATGGTGGGGAGATTATGGAGCTCTCCAGAAAGTACTGATCTCTGTTTACCCCTTCAGGTGACCATTTCAGTCCAATCTGGGCATATTTTACAAGTACCATATGATACCACTCACGTTTATGAGGCTGTTCAGTGTCCTTTTCAGCAGCTGTGACCCCAGATCAGCTGAAAAGGATTTTGAAAGGGAGATAAAGGGCTCACCTCCCACAGTGGTTCCCCTGCAGAGGCACTACAGATAGGAGGTTAGGGTTAATTTGTTTTCTGAATTAACAAGGAATCTGTGAAGCTTGAAGCAATTGTGCTTTATTTTATTTCGGGGGATTTTTTTTAGGTTGATCTCAACAATCCTTTTTGCCTGTGAATTTTTGCTTGTCTCTTCTCAGAGCTTAGCTGGAGGTTGGTGAGAGTTTATTGTGTTAATGCGTGCCACTCACTAATCCCTTTCCCCAGGTAGTGAAAACTTCCCTGAGATGATATCTTGGGTGATTAAAATGTTCTTTAAAAAAAAAGCCCTGGGAAATATATATAGAGAGTAAAAGCAGCAGTATCTTGTACTTCCCTAGCTCTTCCTCTCCTAGTTCTCAAAGAACAGCCTCAAAAGCACTTCTCTTGAGTCAGAACAGGTCAGAGCCATGATTCATAAAAGCTGCCTTTTCTTTCCCAAGTTGTTGCCTTTTCTTTGCTCCCTCATGCTTCCCCTTTCTTTGCTCCCTCATGCTTCCCCTTTCTTTTCTCCCCACCTCCCCTGCCATGGACCAGCTCAGCTTGATCCTGCTCTTTGGAAAACGAAGGACTGCATCACAGATGGTTTTGTTCCAACAAAGAACAGGATCTTGGTGACAGCCCTGGAGAGCAGGCTGTACCCTTCCCTGGAACAAGCAGCAGTGCATCACGTCATGCTCGGACCACACCGCCTCACTCCCTCGCCTCTCTCCGTGTCAGGCTTTTCAAGTTTCTACAAGAAAAAAGCTTCATTCTACAAGGCCAGCATCCAGTTCATATTTGCTATATCACAGGGACAACGATAAGGTAGGATGTAACAATGACCTGCTTCACTTCTTGATAAAATAATTTCCTCTCTCTGTCATTTTTCTCGAAGCATAATATTTAACTAATGTGAGCATGTAAGATAGAGCAGGAGCTTTTCTGTGAACTGCCTGATAATGAGACAGATTCAGCCCTGAGACAGATAACTGCCACCCTGTTGACCTACGTGGAGTTAAGCCTGTTTATCCCCCAGCTTAGAGCTCTGAAAACAATTGAGTTAAACCTGTAAGATGTGTGCGTGTGATAGGGTTGAGGCCAAAAGCGTTGGAGACAGCGGCTATCTGTTACAGCATCCCTCCATCAATGCCCGCTCAGCCCACTACCAGCACGCCTGCCTGGGAGCTGCTCTGACTTGCCGCTGTGGTGCAAATGGGCCCCCCTCCTGCAAAACAACCAGTTAGCTCATCCTCTTACACAAAAGGCTACTGTATTTGATAGGGTACATTACAGTATAGGGCAACCATGCAGCTCTGAATCCACTCACGCCCCCCTACCCAGCAGATACAATGCAGACTGTTATAGCTATCTTGGTGGAGCCTACTTAGTTCAATGCATTGGCTGTGTTTGTCTACTGAAGGTGTTTAAAAATGTGCATGTGGCATTTTTTGCTCACAACATTTGCATGAAGAGCTTTCTCACATCATCCTTTGAAGCTGTTCAAATGGATTGTCACCCAGGGCATATTGCCCGCCTTCTCATCTCCCACCTACAGGAGTTTCCCTGTGGTTGTGCATCTTTTCTCTTACTGAGTTAGAATCAGAGAATCATAGAATAGTTAGAGTTGGAAAGAACCTTAAGATCATCAAGTTCCAACCCCCCTGCCATGGGCAGGGACACCTCACACTAAACCATGTCACCCAAGGCTCTGTCCAGCCTGGCCTTGAACACTGCCAGGGATGGAGCATTCACAAATTCCCTGGGCAACCCATTCCAGTGCCTCACCACCCTTACAGTAAAGAACTTCTTCCTTATATCCAATCTAAACTTCTGCTGCTTAAGTTTTAACCCATTACCCCTTGTCCTATCACTACAGTCCCTAGTGAAGAGTCCCTCTCCAGCATCCTTTTAGGCCCCCTACAAGAGGAGTTCTCATTGTAGCATTGATACAGACCATGGATTTGCCATTTGTCACTGCAGATAAGAGGTGACAATGCTCAGGCATCTTTGTGCCCTCCTCATTCGGGTCATATTCCATCCTGGCATCAGAGATCACAGCATATCTGCTCACCTTCACTTGGCATCCTGTCCAAAACAGATAGAAATTCATCTGCTGACATGACTTCAGCATGCCATGACAGTGTCCAAGATGGCCAAAGCTGACCAGCATACAGTATTTCCTGCATTTACTGTATGCTGACTTCCAGCATCACATGCCATTCCACAATATTAATGAGGTATATGATTTATGGGATGCTGCTGAGAGTAAAATATAGTTATAATTTTAGTACTACTTTTATTTCTTTCCTCGCATAAATGTGTTATGAACCTAGTCTGGTCTATTGACTTTTCTCCAATTTCTTGTTCCCCAAGGTGGAAAATTCCTCTGGATTTCTAGAGATGGAAAACTACTGACTGCTGGGTGCTGGTAGGAGAAGGGTAACAAGCATCTGGGCATGGAGACGGAGACTCCTCTTGACAGCTCTGTTCCTCAGGTAGAACAGGCCTTTCTATCAAAGCTCATGCATGTGTGAGACAGCTTTCTTGGGTGCTGCTTAGAACCTGAAAAATCAACTCTCAGAGGGAACTAGAGTCTTAAAAGCCATGCCTTTTCCTATTATATGTGCCTTTTGTTAGCATCGCCTTGTCTTGTGTAGAGATGCAGCTGTGCATACACTCAGAACCACACAAAATAAAAATGAGACAGGATGGCAAATGTGGCTTTGCCCCCTGCACAGAGCAGTAGGGACCAAATGGATCAGACATAACAGCATCTAGTCTCCATGTCCCATGATGTTCTTTAGAAATGACTGAATATGTTATTCCTTGTCTTGTGTAGATACTGGCTACCTTCAAACTTTCACTGAAGCAATTTGTTTTCAGTTCAGAAGGGACACAAGTCTCTGTGCAATTCACCCATTTTCCTCTTGGCTTAGGTGAAGCGAAAGAAGGATCCACAACAATTTTTGGTACTGGGATCAGGACGTGATTTCAATCAGGGGTGTGATTTATCACCTCTCTCACTCCTGCATTAAGCTGTGTGGCTCACTGTTGAAACAGCATCGCCGTTCAAGGTATTACCACACTATGGGTAGCTCTGAGCTCCCTCACCCATTACAGCAGAGCAGCCACACAAAGGCTTCTCACCCCTTTCAGTGAAACATCTGCTGGACTGAAGCTGCCTAATACTGAATTAAACACGGTGACCTTGCAACCAGGTGGCTGTGGAGCACGTAGCCTTTACGGCTCTGCTATGGAGGCAGAACCCCCAGAAACAAGTGTAGCAGCGGGCTGCCGTGGTGGTAACATTTCTAACAGCCGCAGCTGGGTGCAAAGTGAGCCTGCACCTACACATGTAATGTTTTCCCCTTTCCCAACAAGAATAAGCCATATTAGCATTATCCCGGCACAACTGCACCTATACTCTGGGGAGTTAGCTGCAACAGCATTGTCAAAGCAATTCAGCTTTTCTAAGTAGACAGGCTATAATTACACTAAATTAAAATAGAGTGCTTTTGTTCTAACCTAGGCCATGAGGACTTGCACCAAAAATAACCAAAGGTATGAATTAAGCCATTTCTGTTATTTTAGTACATGCCTGAGCACAGGCGAACTCCTGCTCCATCCCTTCTGGCTGTCAAGCCTGGCAAAGCTCAGCTGCCTGGGTCATCGCCTCTTCTCAGACTTCATCACAGAGGAGTCAGTGTACAAAAGCACCCGATGGAGAAATGCTTCTTGCCTGTAGCGGGTGCCCTGTGATGTCTCTCTCTGGCACTAGCACCCACACCTGACAGCACCCTATCCCAGCTGAAACCAGGACATTCTTTGAGGGGAAGGTAATTCTGCAGGACTGGGGAGTCTCACAGGAGGGTCAGCAGTTCCTAAGGGTCTTGAGCATGAGGGTCACACTGAGCCCCTGTGCTCTGTTGGCTGCTGTGCTCCTTGAAGGGAGTGGGTGCGTGCTGCCACCCCAGCACAGGGATCAAGAGCTTTTTCTTCCCCAGCCCTCCAACTGCGTGCACAAGGCATCTAACCTGGGGTCTTTTCATCTACCTTCAGAAAGGGAGTACCTTGGCTCTGACCCTGCTTTGAAGTGCAATGTTGTCATGGTGAGCCACAGTGGCTGTTCCCATAGAAGAAGCCAGGGCACATAGGAAAGCAAGATCAGCTGTACTGAGTGCTTATTTCCAGGAGGCATGAGCCTTGGTAGGGTCTTTGGTGGTCAGACCACAGAGCCCCAGGGTTTATAGAAGCAGGAAGACCACAAGCCCCATAGGCCTGACCTTTCCATCTCTTCCTGTGAGCATGGGACAGGCTGTTGGTGCATGATGTGTAGCAGGTACCACATGCTGTGCATGCTGTGGGTAGGAAACTAGCAGCATCATGTGGGTTTCCAGTTCAGCAAGGGAAATGGGAAACTGTACTCCAGATCGCACCAGGAACTCAGTGATGCTGAAAATGGTAAACTGAACTCTCAACTCTGCCACAGAGTTATCGGCACTGCTTTGGGTAAGTTACAATGCCTGTACTTGCTGTCTGCAAAATGAGGATACCAACAACATCTACATCCCAGGTGCTCCAGGTGGCACTGTTCGTGTTTGCACAGTACTATTAAGGGCCCCAGAAGAAATGTGTTAATAATGTTCCCAATTTAGGGCAGAGCCAGTCTTTTCAGCAGCTTTTCATTTTCTGTGTTCAACCTCAAAACTTTTCCATGTCTAACTTATTTCAACGGTGCTAAAGGCATAGTCCCACCTTTCCCACAGCACAGGGCCCAGTTTATCCCTTCCCAGGCTGTAGGTGAGAGATTTACCGTGTAGCATACTGCTGGGTACATAGCAGAAAGAGTACTGCTTTCCACGCGGGCGAGGGGTACAGTCCCCCCAGCACTCCGCAGGTAGCGAGGGGTGGCTCGACTCGGAGCGCGGCCGCCCAGCCGTACCCGGGCAGCCTTCGGTGCCTCAGGCGAGCGCCCTGTCCGCAGCACCCCGGTAACGCGGTGGAGCCGCCGCTCCCGCAGGGCGGCGCGGCCTGAACGCGGCCACCGGCAGAGGGGCCGGGCAGGAGCGGGCGCAGACCCCAACTGCAGGGGGGAAGAGGACCGGCGCGCCCCTGTCCCAACAGCCAATAGCGCTGCGCGGCGGGGCGAGGGAGCCAATGAGAAGAGCGCCTCGCTGCGGGCTCGCCCCCTGCCCGCTTGTCCGCCGCCGTCGGTGCGGGCGGTGCTGAGCAGTGTGGCGCCGCCTGCCGGGCGGTGCCGGGCGGTGCCGTGCCGTGCCGTGCCGTGCCGGGCGGCGCCGGCTCCTCCCCGCGCAGAGCTATGTCACGCGGAGGCGCGGGACGGGCGGCTGGGACTTGGTAGCGCGGGGCGAGGCGAGCGCAGTACAGCCGGGATCCCGCTACCGCCTGTGTACGGGGAGAGCCAGCGGCGCCGGGGCTGGCTTCGCGGCGGTCGCGCCGCTCCTGCCGGCCCGCCGGGGCCCCGCACCGCACGCCCGCCGCCGCTGCTCCCCGCCGTCCCTCGGCCGGCGGCCCCGGGCCGCGCACCGCCCCCCGGCCGGCGGGGCTCTGCGTCGCCGCGCGGATGCCGCCGCAGCAGGAGGGCGAGGCGGGCTACATCAGCAAACCGGTGCCGGGCGGCTGCGAGGTGCCGCCGGTGCCCCCGCGCAGGGTGCGCAGCGGCCGGGCGGCGGCGGCGCTGGGGGCAGCGCTGGGTGGCCGCTGCCGGGCGACGGGAGCTGGAGCCGCCGCCGGGGTCGGAGCTGGGGCCGGAGCGGGGGCCGAGCCGCGGCGCAGCATCAAGTGCGTGCTGGTGGGGGACGGCGCTGTGGGGAAGACCAGCCTGGTGGTGAGCTACACCACCAACGGGTACCCCACCGAGTACATCCCCACCGCCTTCGACAACTTCTCCGGTAAGCGCCGGCGGCGGCAGTGGGGAGACCGGGACGTTGGGAGGGGGTGCTGCCTCGGGGAGGGGGGAGCGGCACGTCCTGGCTGTGCCTTCCTTGGGGCCGTGACGGGGCTGCTTGGGGATGTCCATCTTGGTTATTTATTTGGGGCAGGACCGGGGCGTGTTAAGAGCTCCGTCTCGGGGAGCAGCACCGGCAGACCTTCGTGTAACGGGGCCGGGCTGGCAGCTGGTGTTGCGCTGGGCAGTGCGGCCAAAGCCAAAGTCGGGCTTTAATTGTGTACGCTCCGGTCTAAAAGTCCCAGCTCTCGGCCAGATGGGAAGCGCCTAAAAGGAAGGTTTACATACTCGCCTTGTGTCCCCCCATTACATAGGGGGAGGTTCAGGGGTTTGCGTTTGGCTCAGCGCGGGGGGTGGCGGTGTGTCCCGGGCGTGTTGAAGGTGTACAATATGATATAAACTAAACAGAGTAAACCCGTTGTGGTGGAAGAAAGACCCGTACGGCTGGGCTCGCTCTCCTGCCGCCGCTGAGGGTTAGTGCTCTGCTTGCCACATCTCTTGCGGGGAAGTGAATCGGAAAGCCCTGAAGGCTTGTGTGTGCCCAAGTGTCAGCGATGGACTCCCAGCTCTGCTCAGTTGTTAAATCTAAACTAATTGAAGACTATAAGAGCTGAGGGATGGTAAACCTTCTTTTCTTCCTTTTTCTTTAATGGAAAACGTGTAAAATTGGACTCACCACACTTTCCCCCCTTCCCTCCTCCTTTCTTTCCAAAGCTGTCGTGTCTGTCGATGGCAAGCCGGTGAGACTTCAGCTCTGTGACACAGCTGGTCAGGTCAGTGAAGCCACTTACTTGATTTAACTGACAGCGGGAGGGGAGAAGTTGTTGCGCAAAGTAGTCCTGCTAATGACTTCATGGATTTGAAAGGCTTCCCGGTGTTTGATCATCTTATTAAACTGCTATCATTTTCACTGCTGCTTAATTTGCTGTTCTGCCCGGCGTCTGTTGAAGGATGGGGGGACCCCAGCACCCGGGCTGGGCACAGGCTGCTGCTCTGCTTTGCTCAAGCTGTCGCTCTGCTTAGCCTGACTAGAGAGGCTGAACATATTGGGGATTCAAGGGCCACCTGGTTTTCTCTTTGAGCGGTTGTTGCTGTCTTTATGTTTGCTAAGTAACTGTGGGTTTAGGAATTACAGTGTTTGGGATGTATGCATGCAAATTACCCACAGCTGTAGGTGTCTGGAGATAGAGTGAGCTTTTGAAGGAGCAGAAGCTTAAGGGAGAAAAAAGTCCTCTGGGGTGTTGCCTGCGGAGTCTTCATATTTGCCGTTCCCGGCCCCTTAAAAAGTGCTGCCACCCCAAATCCAAGAGTTGAGGGTGGCTGATGCCTCTCAGCTCCTAGTTTGCCTGATAAATGAAAAGAGCCCATTTCTTACTGTCTTGTGTTTTCTCCAAGTCCCTGGCTTGTACCACCCTGAGCAGTGTGTAACACTGCCTGCTAGGGTGGATAGACAAAAAGTATCCAGAAGTGTTTTGCTACCTAGCTGATGTTTCAAGACAGTAGGAGCTGGGTTCCTGTGCAGCTCTGTGGATCCGCATCTATGCCTTCCC